TTTCTTCTCCACTCAGAGGTTGAGGTGATGAATCCAATTATCAAAAACCTCTTTCCCAGAAACAGAATATGAGTGCTCTGGTTCAGAGGGAACAGACTGTAGTAGGCTCAGGAAGTATTTGTGGAGCTGAGTACTTTATCTATAGCAGTATTTCCCTTGAGCAGTGACTCTCATTTCTCCGAGGACCCCTGCTTCAGCACCCTTGGCTCTACCAGAAGGATTCTGAGTGGAATGAAACCTATGATGCTCTTGATATAAAAATCAGATTAAATGCTCCTCAGAAGGGGACTCAAGCTAACTCACATCTTAACAATGACTCCAGAAAGGTTCCAGGTTGGCAGAAATGTAACAACTCACAAGAAACATTTTGCCTTTTCCAAGTTGCAGCCTTTTGGTCTGCCCTTATGGGGCAGAACCCTTAGAGTGACACTCTAAAGCTCCAGCAACATCAGCAAAAAACACCCCTGCTCTATCTGGCTTCCTGCACCCAGGCCAACCATGAACACAAGCAGCCTCAGAGCCTTTTCTACCCAGGAGCTTCCTTTAGGTTGCTTACACGACAACACCCATGCCTTACAGGAACACTTTCCTTCTTTCCATCACTAAGTTCAACACCAAACACAGAGGCTAGGAGAAGCACACTGGCTACTGACACCCCAAGGAGACTCCAGATAGCTCACAGGCCCAAAGTCAGCTTCTACAGAGCAAACTTGAACAAAAATGCTTAAAGATCACTTTGGCACTAGAACCAGGGAGGGGGCAGTCTACTGGAACAGCCTGTATTTGATAGCAGAAGAGAAACACTGGAGAACCTACATGACACAAAGCTTCCCATTGCCATGTCACAAGGGCTTCTTGCAAGGCATGACATTCTTCAGTTCCTCACAAAGCCTGTTTCAGCAGTTGCTGCTTAGTATTACCTCCTTACCAACCCCACACTTCTTCAGGAATAACAGGAACATGTACAAATTTGGCAGACTTATCTACATAGTTATCTACATAGATTCTAGCCAGATGTTCTCTCTACATAGTTATCTACGTTGATTCTAGCCAGGTGTTCTCTCACCCCCTAAAAGTTCCTTTAACTTCTGTTCAAAAGTAACATTACTTACACAGAATATATTTTCACACAGATTGCTCACGGAGAAAAGGAAATAAAGCATCAGGAGAAGAAAGAACAGTGTTTATTGTCATAGACTCATTGTAAGATCGTGGGTTGGGAAAGGAACATACATCTCTAATTACATGGACAGGATGCAGAGAGAGATGTAAAATTACAAGGACATATATCACTAACGAAAATCTGTGTTTCAAGTCAGCTTTCCAGCTGGTACAAACCAGGATGGCCTCACTGATCTCAACAAAGATAAGCCTGGTGCTACTGAAGTACAGGTGCTTCATGGAGAAAGGATGATGGTTCAAAGTGCAAAGATATCAGGGAGCTGCCAGTGAAAGTCTTGAAAGAAGACTGGTATGAACTGGTACAGCTGCACTGGCTGCAGAGCTACATGATCTGCCCTACAGAGCACACACAGTTATGAAAAAAGAATGGTCACCCTCCCCACTGCTTCACATATCTAGTGTTAAAAAAGTTAAGCCAGCACTGGCTAGTAACCTGCTCCCAGAGCTCCGGCTCTGAGTTGTATGTCTGAGGCAGAGTTGAGCTCAGGCTCTTCTCTCTGCACTGTAGCAGATGACCCTTTCAGCAGTGGCTTCCTTCTACTCCTCTGCTAGCTTGACTTGTTTCCCTAACGTGTACAGAGGTTTTGCCGCTGTTCCAAGGAGGCAGCAACAGAGAGGGGAAGCAGCCAAGAACCTCAGAGAAAAAAGCACAATATTAGACCACCTTATTTTCTTTGTTTTGCTGAGGGATGGTGTGCAGCCCTCCAAGGTAGCTCTCCTTTACCTAAAGCCGTGGAACTGAGCTGCAGCAAGCAGCTCAGCCCCCTTGTTGCAGTTACTGCCTCTCCTGGCTTTCTTCTGGGACTCTCCTCTGTGTCTCTGCTTCAGGTCCCAGGAAAGCTGGACCCGCTACTGTATAGGCTGAACCCTAACCAGCAAACAGCCCTAGCTATGCCACAGACTCCTGCTCTGTGGTGAGGGACCTCCAGCAGCCAAGCACAGCAAGCAAGATGCCTGGGGGCTGAGCCAGGTCCAGACAACATGAGCTGTACTGTAGGGGCTCGCTTTTACCCCTGTTCCCCCCGATTCAGCACTATTAGGAAAGGGGGCACAGGGAGGGCTGCACTTTGCCAAGTGCCCAGGTCTGTTACTCTTGCACCGCTCCGGCGCACGGCTTCCCCTCTGTCGGAGCCCACACCAGGCTAGACCCCAGGGGAGCAGGAGTCCGTGGGGAGCGGACAGGCGGGGCAGAGGAGCCGGAGTCCGTGGGGAGCGGACAGGCGGGGCAGAGGAGCCGAGCACGCTTCCATAGGGTTAGCTCCGCAAGGGGAAGGAGGGGGCGCCGGGTACCCGGGAGCCACGGCCCGGGGGTGGGGGCTTCTCCCCGAGCCCTGACGTAAAAACTAAGAGGGGCTGCCCGCTCCGGGTTCATAAGGAGCGCGGCGGCGGCGGGCGCGGAAAGCCGAGCCCTGCCCTGCCCGCCCTGCACACCGGACCGCCGAGGTAAGGGCTGAGGAGCCGGGGGGGGGTGGTGGTTGGGGCCGGAGCGGACGGGACGGGCCAGGAGCGGGGTCCGACGGGGAGCCCAGCAGAGTCCCGGACTGGCGGAGCTGCCCGCGGGAGCTCCGCAAGCAGCGCTCGCCGCCGAGACGGGCACTCGCTCCTGCTCCGCGGGACTGGGCTCGCCTTCCTCAGGGGTAGGATGGAGTGACTAGTCACAGCCGAGAGCCACAACCACTTAAAGCAGCGACAGCTAAGGAGCTAATTAACTTTTTAATGATTATTACAATTGTAAGGGGCTATTTGTGACGGGGAGTGGAAAGGAGGGGTAAACTGCCAGAAGAGGGAAAAAAAAAAAGAAAAAAAGAAAAGTCAGAGCCAAGTGACAATAGCACACACACAGACTTCGATTTATGGACAGAAAGACCTAAAAACTGGAAGGGGGAGGGGGGAGAACTGCTGGAAGCATTTACCACAAGGTCAGGTAAGAGATCAATGAAAACTGACATTCCCTGAACATCCCTTCAGCTCTCAGCCATCTAAAAAACTGAACTTTGTAGAAGACTAAGAGCAAAATGCTGCAGGGTTAGACCAGACCATAAGAACTAATGGTCTTGACTACTGGCCCTGACCAATGCCATTGACAACACACCTGAAATGACATCCACCATTGCATTAACATCCTGTGGGCTCCCTGCCCAGGGCAGTCCCTTTGCTCACACATCTGACAAGTCTATAACCCTTTACCCTTGCCGTACTTTTGTATCTTACAGTTTCCAAAGGGGCTGGGGAAGGTTGGTGGGGTGTGGAAGCAGCAGAGAAAGCAAAGCAACCTATTCAGTTCGTAACCAGTGCAATATAGATGGCCCTTCTTCAAGTGACATGCTTAAAAGCCAGTTTTAGTATTACTCCTTTGAACTCTCTGTTGGTGATTTTATCTTTTTTTTTGGGGGGGGGGAATGTTTCCTCCCCATGGTCATATCTGAGATTGCTAAACTGCTTTGAAAACTAGAAGGTTGATAAACAAAGTTAATTATGGCTGGGTGGATTTCCTGTCTCTTTATAAGCAATTTCACACCAAGTGAGAACTTGTTTAGACTTTAAGACTGTATTTGCTTGAATGCGTGCTCAAGGCCAGGCTGGATATATTTCTGTGCAACCTAATCTAGTTGAAGCTGTCCCTGCTCATTGTAGGGTGTTTGGACTAGATGACCTCTGAAGGTCCCTTCCTACCAAAACTATTCTATGATTCTATGTTCCTCAAAAATGTCTCAGTAAACAGATAAGTACACGCAAATTGCATAGCATATATGCCCAGGTGTATGCTGCACAGTGGAAAGGCTCCAACGAACAAATAAGTAAGAATGAAGCATTGACTCACAGGATGTCTTCAATTTTGCTTCAGAGAAAGCAATCAAAACCTGCCTTGTGCACTATGGTACAGAAGAGCAATGCTTCTGGAGATCTTGGGAGCAGCATGGGGGCAACCTTATCACTACCACCACCATCATAGGTGACATACCAGTAAGCAGATCAGTGTGTGAAGAGTGTGCCACCCCTCTTTTATTCATCAGCTTCAAGGTTCAGATGCAAGGCTGTCAAGCCCGTTCTCCTCATGAGATCCCAGCTCAGATTAAAAACTGACTGCAAGCAGTTGGGGAGTAAAGTCTGAATACCTCCTGAATGTTCCCAGAACCTGACCAGGTAGCCACATAGGGGCTAGGTAAGAATATTGCTGCCTGGACTGACATTTCTGAAGACTACTTTAGATCTACCACAAAATATGTTCTATGAGCAACTTACCCCTCCCTGGGCTTGCACACTGGCAGGGGCTTGACCACTTTTCACACACAATCCATCTACACACTTATTCTGTCTTCAATATTTTTCTTCATAGAGCAGGGAAACATTTATTGTGCTTTCGATGACCACTCACGGAAGAAGCTTTCTACACAAAAAGCCAGTTGATTTTTTACTTGAGCTCATGAGGAGAGATACCTTCTCCCCTGTCAACATCCTTCAACAATCGAACACATAAAAGCATGAACACTCAAGATTAACACACACATTAAACAGAATTGTTTGTCCTAAAAGCTGATCTCTGATGTTGTAGATTTCCAAAAATGGGAGGTTCTCCACATGCCTTGAGCTACACTAAAACCCACCCCCAAATCTGTTACACATTAGAAATGCATATTAGAAATGTAGTATCATGTAGACGCATGTGAATCTGCAGACTATTTTAAAGTCTTGAGTAAAGCAAGACTGCCTAAAGGCTTAAATTCTTTGCAAGAAGGAATGGTTTTTTACTGAAGAAGGTTAGGGACCTGTAAATCAAGAAAGGACAAAAAGCTTCTACATGAAGAAGTTCCACATAAAAGAGCTCATCAGATGGATTTAAGGATGCTTAACAAATTTTAACACATGCTTCTGCTGCACAGAGTAATGCAACTCCACTTAGTATTTATATTCATACATGCAAAAAAGCATACACAGATCTTTAAAGAGCAGAGAAGTAATTGCCAACATCTGACATGATGTATATAATGTAAGGTACCAGGGCTTTGTTCCTGCATCTAACAGAGAGGAATTTTTCATCTTTTTGGTTTTGTTATATTTCAGTGCACTATGGACCTTGGGAACAGTGGAAAAATCCACTGCAACATGAGACTCACCTACTCTCTGCTAATTGTGGGAGCGTTCTGCGTAACACCCTTCCTCTGCCATAGCCAAATTGATCCACTAGCTCTTGGGCGAGCAGACCCCCAGTGTTGGGAATCCTCCTCAGCTGTCTTACTGGAGATGAGGAAGCCTCGTATTTCTGACTCTGTCAGTGGCTTTTGGGACTTCATGATCTTTCTGAAATCATCAGAGAACTTGAAACATGGGGCTTTGTTCTGGGACCTGGCTCAGCTCTTCTGGGATATCTATGTGGACTGTGTGCTCTCCAGAACCCATGGCCTAGGGAGAAGGCAGCTAGCAGAAGCTGAACAGAAGATTGCAAGTCTACGTTCTCAATTCACAGTGAGAAACCAAGGTTACTACTCCTTTAAAACATGTCTCATGGGCAATAACTAGTCTAGCAGGAAAGAAGAGCAGTATGTGGCAATAGTACAGAAATAGAGAACATGCTGCACAGCCTCTCAGTAACAGCACAATAGTAACAGTACAACAGTAATAGTACAGAGCTATTTTTGTGTTTAAATTGATCTCAGTAAAAATTTGACCTCCAGACAACCTGTACTCTAATGATAGCTTTTAAGATTCAGTTTGGTGGGGGGAGAAAGGGCAGCAGAAAGTGAAACATAGGAGGATTCAAACAAAGAAAACAGCTCAGCAACTGAATATACAAACATACTCCTATACACCAGCATTTTTACCACTATTGCACCATGGACAAGCTAGCTCCGAATTCTTCATTCCAAGAGGTGCATTACCCCAGGATTGTGTTGCACTGACACTGCTGGGGAGAGTGGCAGTCTTTCAGAAGAAAAGCAAGGTTGTTTACTTGCCATCTAGTAGTCATCCACTAGGTATTTCCATACTGGCGATTTTGCCCAGCATACAGACCTAGGACTCAGACATGTGCAGGCTTTCAGACACAGCTACAGCTTCACGAGGAAGAACACTATCTACGACACTAAAAGATGCAATTCCTAGCCTCCAGGTTCCCAGCCCCAGAGCAAAATCCCCAGGCTTAAACTAGGTGTTTCCATATGCAGTAAGGTGACAGCTAGCACCTCACAGCAGGATCTGCAACAGGTATCATATCAATTAGCCTCCTCATTCCCAGTAGAAAGATACAGCATAGCTTTTCCTAAATCTCAGTCCCTTATAAGGCTTCAGTTCTGATTCTGCTGTCAAGAGATGTATCCTTCCCTTGAGAATGTCCACTTTCAGAAGGGGCAGGTGCTATAAGCTGATGGAAGGGTAGAAATGCTGCTGCCATCACCAACAGTGTAGTGAATTGGGCCCACAGTGACAAGGCAGAACTGCCATTTCACTTTAATGGATTCAGACCCTTAACTCTGCTTCCTAGATCAGTGTGTTAGTTATCAATATGTCTGGAGGGAATGTCTGTGGAAGAATGAAGAACCTCTCTGGGCAGCTACCCATTACAGTCTCTCTAAAAAAGGGACTTGAACTCAGAATTCTTCTGACTCAGGGACACTATACCACTGGACAGTCCAATTCTTGCCCACAAACCTTAAGATGTTTTGTGTAATGAAAGAGGATTTGATAGACAGGATTAAGAGGTCCTTTACCCCCATTACCTACAGAGAGTATTTTAGCCATTAAGCCAGAAGATAGCTGTGTTTGAATCAATCCCCTTAGAATGAAGAACTCCTCACACACATAGGGACAATTTCTAAACTCTAAGTCAGACCACCACTACCTGCATTTTAAAAGCAAAGAGTGGATCGTATCCTGCTCTGCAAAGAATCTGAGCCATCACATAGCTCTACAATCTTGACTGAATTGAGATACACTGACAGCAAACAGCACAGAACCCCCTTCTGGTTCCCAAGTGGCCTTAGGCATCACAAAGGTAGCAAGTTGCTCACTCCTAACCAGAGTGATGCACTTTTGAATGCAAACAACATACAGCTTTAGAAACATGAGGTAGTAGTACTATCAAAAAGCAAGATGTTCACCAGGCTAAAGCACCAGATAAATTTTTGTTTTCAGGATTGCAGCTCTGAATATCACTAAATTGATCTTTAGCCTTTTGTTTACATCTGGCTCTTCATGTCTATATCACACTGTGATTTTCCTAAACAGAGCTTTTGCTCCAGTTGAGATTAAGAGTAACAGTCTGACGTATTTTGAAAAATCAAATTATGGGGTTTGTGATTAATACTGACTTTTTACTCCTAAACAGATTTTAAGCGCTACTAGGCATTCACACTCTAAGACAAACAAGGATCCCTCCCCTTCTCTATTTCTTTACCTCCTTGTTTTGTAAGCCGTAATCAGTTAATCTGGTTTCTCTGTACAATTGATGAACATCAGTGAATAGCAGGCACCTTATAACAGTGACCACCTAATTTTTATTTTTTGGAGGAGCTATCGAACCTCTTATCCAAGTCTCCCAGTTTTTGAACAAAGCCAGCTGGTTTAATTTTGGTAACTCTTGATCTTACTGCCTTGTTTCACCAGTGAAAACAGAAATCAGTTGTTCATAATTGCAGATAGAAATCGCATCCTAGAAATTAGGAGGAATAGAGCTACTGCTTCTTATGTGTAAAGAGATATACAAGCCTGTTTTCTTAGCCCAAAGAGCAGCACTAACAGCATTTGAACAACCTTCTGTACTTCACATCTACATGGATGGGTACAAATAGCTGTCAGTAGGCTTGTTTTAGAAGTCAAGCAACAAAGCAAGATTTCTTTTGCTTTATACCGTTAGTTTTGCAACCACTGATAACATCTTTATTGCTCCATACTGAAATTTTAAATCTTATTCCTTTTAAGTATTTATTTTATGTTGTTTTGGTTTTTTTTTTTATTTGGGTTTTGGGGGGTTGTTTGCTTGGTTTGTTTTTTTTTTTAGTTGCAAACAGGATCGTAACTCAGGAGCAAGTTGTAAGCTGCATTCACTGTAGTCCTTAAACCTATCATGGAAATGGAAAAGCAAAACAGATGTGCAATTGACACAGTAACATTGATGTTAAGGTGTTACTATTTTAATGCCAGGTTTCAAAACTGAAGGGTAAACCCCATGAAGACATTGTAAAAATTGAGTATCAGGAACTGAGCTTTTTCTAAGAAAAAGGAAAACCAAACCAAGCAAGCAAGCAAACAAACAAGCAAAAACCAACAATACACAGCAATCAGAAGTGCTCCAAGCAAAAACCTCCTGAAGGCCTTGGTGAAAGTTTCACAGTAGTACTGAACAAAATACCCTCCTAGGAAAAAAACAATTCTGTCTGAGTGTACACCAAGACAATGACAAAAGTATCTCCAGTCCAGACTATGGGGTTCAAACACTGTTTTCTAGTCTTACCAGGTTTCTGACTGTAGTTAGTAACAGATCTCAAGATACTCTTTAAACTCTATACAACCTATTAAAATTACAGCAAAATCAGAACAGCCATATATGACTTATCTGACAAACCACCTCCATCCAGATAAAATCTTACTTAACCAGCAGCATTTCAACTTCCTCAAATATCTCATAGTGTTAGTCAGCTTTAAACTGAGACAAGTAGGGAGAGTCCTTTACAATTACCTTGCCAGGACATCATTAGTAACTCAACCCTTTCCCCCAACAAAACCTGAATGCTATGAAAAAGCACATTTCATAAAACATTTCCAGCATACTACAACACTAGTTAGATACATTATAGTTGTCAGGCTTAAAAATCGCAAGAAGAATATAGCTTTTGTACTCACAACAAATTTTCCCAAAGAGCAGCTGTACCAGAAGTCTCATTTCAAGAAGCCATGTAGCACATCCTCTCCATAAACACTTGAAAAACAAAAACACAACCCCCTCCTCACCTCTTTTCTACCTCCGTTCTCCTCATCAGCAGTACCTCTACTACCCTGCTACTCAGAGTGGCTGCAGCTGTACACACCTCCCTCACAGGTGCCAGTAATGCGGCTTAGGTCAACATCTCAGATCAGGTGCAAGGGAGGGTAGTGGGACAAAGGCTGTTGTATTACGCATTTGAAGTCTGGTAAATAAACAGATACTGTGTTAAACAGTCTTTAAGAAGACAAATGTGTGTAAAAGAAATAAAGCCAACTGTGGGCTTTTGAGATCATTGCAAAGAAAATGCCCCATGGTTTCTCAAGGAAAAAACATATGCGCTACTAAACAATGTGAGAGATCTCATGCACTGTGCAGGGAGGTTGATGACAAGCCACCCAGTCAGTAAGGCTGTGACCAGGCTCAAGTGCTTAGACTCTGCTAATTACAAATGGAAGAATTTTATAGGAACACTGAAGGAAAAGGTCTATGCTGGGGGAAAAGATCAAAGTAATTTGTCACTAAAAGGCAACTTGCAAATGGAGGGACATGGCTATCACCAAAACAAGGGGTCTGGGGGCAGTGCTGATGAAATAGGGACCAGCAGCTAAAGATGGAGAAAACATGGATGTAGGAAACTGAGTATTGAGCTGCTCTTTACTGTTTGGAAACTGATTACTTATATGCATTTTCATGTAATTTTTCAGGGATATTTCCTCATATTCAGAGGTCACAAGTTCTGAAGAAGAAAGACTTGTTTGAAGATTTAATAAGTATCCACATGCATAAGAGCATATCTACATTACTTGGAAGAATCACTGGAGAGCTAGGAAAAAAGAGGAAATGACACATTTAGTCCAAGATCTTGATTTGTGTATATGTTTAAGCTACTTCTCTTTATTTGCTTTTTGCATTTTAATCCTCATTGATGTCAATTTATATGCTGGAAGAAGGCCTGTAACTATGAGCACTGTATTTCTGATTAACTTGGACTTGTGGGGTTTTTTAATTGCTTATGAATTCAGACTCCTTAATAAACTGCATGATTTATAAGCAGTTGCCTACTTTAATCTGTGTATATGAGGCCTTTTGTAATGCATGTGACCTATCCAAACTATTGTCCTTTGGGTGCCAAAACAGGAAATAACTGATCCTTCAATAAAATATAGACAAGCAGAGCAGGAAGTTGCCAAAAACCTCCACTGGCTCCAAAACAGGATTAGAGTCAAGATGGTGATGTTTTACTGTATGCATAGCTGTAAGCTTGTACAAAGCAACCACTGCTGAAAAACATCATCCTACTAAGGAAAAGTAGTACATATTTTTATATTAAAAACACCTTAAAAAGATGGTTCTGGTTTTCTAGTAAAAGTGTTAACAGGTTTTACCAGCAGCTTCTCTGTGTGCTTTGTGTTTTTTTTTACAGTATTTTCCCTAAATTTTAGTTACTAAAAACATCACTTAAAGTGTTTAATTAAAAGAATTCTCATGCATAACTTGAATTTGCATCTTTTTTAATTTGCAACTTCCTTGTAGACAAATCAGTTTCCTCTGTGACTGTTACTGAGAACTCTAATAGGCAGTCTGATATTAAACTGATGCAACATAGCTTTGGGCAGGTTACATTTGATGCTTTGATGAAATATTTCCATAGCCTGGGTGGCTGAATGCAACTACAAAATTAAGCTTTCCAGGGCACCTACATTCAGTTGTTAATTCAAAGTTGCTTTCCTGGAGCATGTGGCAATATTTGGTTTGTTTGGTTTGGGGGTTTTTATGTTTTTGGGGTTTTTTTGGTTTGGTGTTCTTTTTTTTTCCAAAATGCCCAAAGAAAAAGTGATTTGCTGATTGTTCATCAACTTGCAGAAATAGGTTCAAGTAGCACAGTATGTAAATGAAATCTTAAAACAGTTACTGGGCCTGAATAAAATAAAATAAAATAAAACGAAACAGTTCCATTAGATGAAATCCTAATCTTACAGAATCAGCAAGAAAACTGTAAGAGGGTTATCATCTTCAGTGGCATAGAATTTGTACTTAATGTTCTGGGTTCAGCAGTAGCCGTCATTTTTTTTCTCTTAGCTGGTGCAGTGCTGTGGTTTTGACTTGGAGCCTGGGAACAGTGCTGATAACACCAATGTTTTCAGTTGCTGCTCAGTAAGGTTTACTCTGACCAAGGACTTTCTGAGTCTCATGCTCTGCCAGGGAGGAGGGGAAGCCAGGAGGAAGCAGAGACAGGACACCTGACCCAAACTAACCAAAGAGGTATTCCATACCATAGCACATCATGCCCAGGATGTAAACTGAGGGCAGTTACCCCGAAGGGCGAGATCACTGCTTGGTTGGGCTGGGTATCGGTCGGCAGGTGGTGAGCAGTTGTATTCTCCTCCCTGTTATTTCCCTTACCATGATTATTATTGGTAGTAGCAGCAGTGGTTTTGTGCTATACCTCAGTTACTAGACTGTTCCTATCTCAACTCATGGGGGTTACATTCTTTCGATTCTCCTCCCCATCCCTCTGGGAGCCGGGGGAGCAAAAGGGGGAGTGAGCTAACTGCTGTGTGGTTCTGCATTGCTGGCTGGGCTTAAACCACGACAGTTAACCATGTAACAAATCATTTAAATGTTCGAGAGAGGACGGAACACTAAAGCAGGATGAACACGGAACACACAGTTCAGTACACTGCAACATTCTCCCAGCTGCCTCTGCCTGCAGCCATCACCTACAAGAGTGCTCTGCTACCATGTCGGAGGTGAGAGCAGTGTTACAGCAGATATCCTCACTCTTACTGTTGTTAATTAATCTAAATTATATATCTTAAAGCCCCATTGTGCACAACTTTGTATTAATATATGAGACACAGTCTTCACCCACAGTCCCTGCAGCTATTAAGACCAGCAACTAACAAAGAACTTCAGGGGTGGATGCCTCATGCAAATAGGATTGGTATTGTAGTAAACCAGATGTTACCTGTTCCCATGTGCTCTCAAGCTCTAGAAAAGCTGAAACCAAACATTATCTGAACAGGTACTGTTTATCTTAGATGCTCTCCGAAAGGGCCCCTTGTAACAGGCTAGTACTTCCACTTTAGATACATCCTTCCTGTAACAACAGGATCACCCAGGGAAGGGCCGCTGGCAGCTTTCCTGTTCCCTTCAGATAACAACAGAAATGGTGAAATGCCACTATGGGCCCAAGTGATGTTTAGTTTAAACAAATTTGCAACACTTCTCTACTTCTGCAGGCTTCTTAATTAACAGGCTGTAGCACCCTTTGGGGAAATGAGCAGAAAAGGATTAGCACATAGAGGAAAGACTGAAAAAACAGATGAAACTCTAGCATAGATCACACATAGGTTCCCCATTGAACATTTGAAAATTGCTGACATAAAGGAGATAATCTGTGTTATTAATTGTCCTGAAATAAAAAAGGGATGCAACTAATGACATGTAAACCTGTAAGTGATAAAGTTCCTGAAGGAACGCCTACCTCAGGGAATTTCTTCTCTCTGAAGGTCTCAGAGCATAATTCTATTTTATAATTTAGGTCTTGCTTGCTTTTATCCAGGTCTCAACAATTCTGGCATTAAAACACAACCAGGAGACCTCATAGCAGCCTTCCAGAGTCTGAAGGGGGCCTATAGGGATGCTGGGGAGGGACTCTTCATTAGGGACTGTAGTGATAGGACAAGGGGTAATGGGTTAAAACTTAAACAGGGGAAGTTTAGATTGGATATAAGGAGGAAATTCTTTCCTGTTAGGGTGGTGAGGCACTGGAATAGGTTGTCCAGGGAGGTTGTGAATGCTTCATCCCTGGCAGTGTTCAAGGCCAGGTTGGATGAGGCCTTGGGTAATATGGTTTAGAGCGAGGTGTCCCTGCCCATGGCAGGGGGGTTGGAACTTGATGATCTTGAGGTCCTTTCCAACCCTAACTATTCTATGATTCTATATTTGCTACTGATTTACTCACTATAAATTGAGACCTTCTAGAGTGGCTGTGTTAAGGGAACTAAAAGTGCTGTGAGTGTGAGATGCAAGCAGATTTGATGTACAGGAATAATTAAAAATGTCTCTGTGTCTAAAGACAGGATATCACTTCCTACCACTTTTCCCTTTAAACTTCATTAGCAGATCTTGGGGTGTGCTAGGACTGCTTTTGAAGATACAGTTCCTGGCTTATTGTTCTTCAGTCTGCATGTGCCAGAAGAACAATGGAATGAACATGTCTGAAGTTGCTCTGTTGCCAGCTGAACTGAGTAGCAACAAAATAACAGCCTTGGGATTTTGTCCCTTTCAGCTTGTAAGGACCTGGTAGTTAAACAGCTGCTTATTAGGATGGAAAAGCACTTCCTTGAGTCTTTATGTGCTGCCATGAAGTAAGAGTTCATGGTGGTTCAGGAATATCTGTTTGTAAGATTTTGTGCTCGAGACCTAGTATGTGTTGCATCAGACCAAACCAGTATTTGTTAGCTATCACTGTTTCCAGCTGATTCTAATCCACATGCACTGACGCTTGAAGGAAACTCAAAGTCTCAACAGAAGCTGATGGATATTTTCCCATTATCAGAAGTTCTTTGTTGTATCTCTTGTCACTGGTATATTGCAAAAGCTACTAAGCCTCTATCTCACACTATATTCTGTTTGTGATAATACAAGTATCCACTTTCTAGGGACCTCATCCCTATATGTATTGTGGGGTCCTCCCCCTCAGTTAGTTTCTCTACTTTTGAGCCACGTCACACTTCCTTTGCTAGAGACAAGCTACTTGTCAGCTTCCAGTTGAATACCGTTATTTGTTGCTGTAATTCTTGGGTGTTTGCAGTACATGTAATTAAGGCCTCCTGTGAACAAAACTAGCAGAAAGAACCAGGAAGGTTCATTGCTATCACTACCACAGGGTCAGGTCTTTCAAGAAGGTGGCTGAGGTGCTACCAACAGGAAACAAGATTTCTAGCCATTTTAATAAGTCAGTCTGTCCCTTTATCTTGGTCATTATAATTAATTCTGAAAAATACAAGACCAGGAAAATCTGTGTGGAAAATTAAGCATTCTATTCCAAGGTTGTCCTAGATATGCAAGTTAATCAGTAATGGAAAGCCTCTTCTAAACCAATTAAATTACTTTAAGTGTTCAAAGCACATTTTCATTTAATGCAGTAGTTTGGGAAAATATGATTATGTAAATATCAAATATTGGGAAGTCTGACAATTAAGAACTAATTTCTTCCTTTAGTCTAAGAAACAATGATGTGATAGCGAATACATCACTGAAACCAGTTAACTGAACTCACATATATTAAAAAAATATGTTCCTGAAAGACAAGCCATTATGGATTATACAGCACTAAGAAGAGAAGACATAGCAGGACAGTTGTTAAAGCCTGTGTAACGTTAATGAAGACAGGCTGATTTTTATCAGCTGGGCTAACATCTACTGCACAGGAGCTGGAAGCCACCAACAGAAGCCACCAATAGTGATAAGAATGTCTTTCTGTAGCACTATTTATGGTCCCTGGTGAAGTCAGTAAATGCAGAAGTCTGTTATGTTGGGTTATTACACCAAAACATCTGAGACACTTTTAAAACTCTGATATGGCATCAATTACCTTCAATAGTTCAGTAGAGCTGTAAGGGCAAGTGGTAGTTTCCGTCATTTACAAGCTGGTGAAATCACTTGGTTGATGAGGTCAGAAAAGGATCTGCTAACATGTTCAGCTGTAGAGAAGAATTCCTGCTGCAAAACAGACTGTTGAGCTGAAAAGTAGAACAGATTTTTAGACTTTCAGACCATTTAGGTGCTGTCAGAGCCCTAAAAAATTCTGTAAATTTCTAATTTTTTAGAAACAGCAGTTTTTGCCATCGTTCTTTCTTTTACATCCTCATTTATCAAAAGTGAGACATCTTGACCGTTGAACAAAGCTCTAAGCAAGACCATTGATCCTACAAAGGGATTTTGTACTGCTGGAAGTCTGCCAGAGACTAAATTCATAGTTACAGGGTCAGAAGGGGCAAAAGAGAAGACCTCCAGTGCCCTCAACTGTAAGTTTGCTCCTTAACTGACTGCCAAGACTGATTTCCTCTCATGCACTTTGACTCATCCTGTTTCAAATTAGTCCAACATAAGGAGCTGTATTTCACCTTACAGGAATATGTTCTACCTTATGCTATAGGGCTGGCATATTTCTACAATGGCAAAGGCAAGAATCTGGGTCTCCTCTGAGGGTTAAATGATTACGAACTATATTATAAACTGGATGAAGGTGTGAAGACAGTGTGAAGATACCTGGGAGAACTTATACCTGCTTGGGATTGGAGAGACACTGCATCCTTTAGTTTCATCACTAGCTGCTGCAGTTCCACTTCCTCACTGGCTTCTTTCTCATCAGGTGGTATCTTCACTGCAGTGGGAGTAAAAACTGTATTCCTCATGATGCCCCTGTGGGAATTTTTTGTCAATTCAGGCATATGTGTTTGATTCTCTTTTGCTTTTTTATTCCGAGGTCTGTTGCTCTGCAGGGATGCTGACTCCAGTGAGTCTTCTGAGAAGATGAAGTCCACTGCAGTAGGAACTTCAGGTGTCTGTAAAAGCTGCATTCTATTTGCAGAGTTGGAGGGATTCAAAGATTTCCAGTCTGCACATGTTCTGGGATTAGGCCTTATTTGGGCAGGATTCAATCCACCCTGCAGTGTCCTTTCCAGCAGGACTTGAGGACTTCTTGGCATCATGTATTGACACTGTACAAAAGGATGCTCTGATGACTGGAACATTGCCTACAACAGACAATACATAGAACCTACATCATGAAAATCATTGATAGTTTAACTTGCTGACAGTACTAAAATAGGTAAGAAAATAATTTCAGGTCTTGTGAGCTAAAGCAATTCTTTTCATGAATAAAATATTATCCTGCAATAAAATAAAATTTGTTTGTGGCCATTTTTTCCACAATTTCAATGTGAAGACATTATATGCTTTAATGCCATTGAAAAAGTGAGAATAATAACATTTCAAGAGTAAAATTGCAGGAAAATTCTTCTAGAAGAATTGCATTAAGTGAAAAAAATATATGTATATTTAACACATATCAAACACCTCACACCTGTTAACATTCAGAATTCCAAAACTAGGTTGGTTGTCAGTGCCACCATTGTACTTGAATCTTCTAGACAGAACTATGATGGCAAATACCATCCACTGCATGAACACCGAGTCTGGTGTAACTGGGATCACTGAGCCTACTGTGCATGTACTGGACACAACTTCATGTGTGGAGCCAGTCCTGCAAACTGTGGACAGGTCAGTGTCACAGCATGCACATGGAACCTTATGACATGCCAGGTCATACTGGACTCCATGTGCAAGTGCTAGAAAGCTGGCCAAGTGTACAGTGCAGATGCATCTGGCTTTTCTCTGTATTTGGCCATCCTTGAAAAACACATGAAAAGTAGCATTGAAGAAAATGCTACAAACATGCTGCAGGTGGCAAACATGTATGCATTCCCTGTGAAATAAGGACCTTTTTAGAACCTCAGAGAGATCTTAAATAAACAAGAATCAATACAATTTAAAGGAAATAAAACACTTTCTGTTTGAGTAAAAAGTATTTTATTTATTCAGTGCCAACACAGAACTCTTCTCTAAAGAAAAGACTGCAATGAAGTATATAACATTTCTGTTGGAAACCATTTTCTCACTCATCTTCTTACTATACTGGAATATCCTCGCATTATTTTAACTGCCGTAGTATCTAAATATCCCAGATATTGGTATGTGCCTGATGCTAAATATATACAAAATGACAAGTAAATCCTTGCTTCAGAGAGCCTAATTGCTTCCTCTGAAGGCAAGACCCTAAGCAGACAAGTGGAAGGTGCACAAAATAGTATCAAGACTGCTGGTTTGCAGCAGAAGGAGTAGTTAGTGCTCAGTAATTGCCCATAGCTATGAATATTTTTGCTTTATTTATCACTATACCTTTACTTCTTGCTTCATTTGCTGCAACTTCATTTGTAGGTTTTCATGGCTTGCTCTCAGGCTTTGGAGCTTTGCCTCTATTTTGCAGCTTTTGTCTTCCTGACAGTTGTGAAGAAATTGCATTTTGCCCTTCCACTTGTTGAACTGCTTCTTCATGTACCTGCCAAGGGACACAGGAGGGTGGGAATTTTGCTAGATCTCACACACACAAACACATGTAGTCATGGAAAAGAGCAAACACTGTAGCACAAGCTTTCTCCTATTTGTCAGTTCAGGAAATTTTGTCAGCCTTGGAGTTAGAGGCCAGTATTATAGGAATTGGGCTGTAGCCATGGAATTAGCAACAACAGGAGTGTTTTAGATGAGGAAAGATGTGAACTGAGCGGAGCTATAGCCAGGACTGGGCCTTGCATCTTGGGGTTTTACTTTTCCCATAAGGGTGGTTGCAACAGGAGAGACATTATAGCAGTCCCTCTGTCTAAAAGCAAACCACTTATGGCAACTCCCCAACCTGGAAGATTCCCATCATTTCCACCTGGGCAGCAAAGGAGTAAAAGCAGCCTCTGTCCCTTTGCCTGAGTTCCTTCTGTGCAGCTTGTTTGATGATATGAATAGTTCCTGCATAGGCCACTTGTCCTTGAAAAGATCCTGTGATGTTTGCAGTGAGAAGTGCCACCCTCCCCCACACACCACAGAAGATTTAGAAATAATTACTTACTTGGAGCACAGTCTGACAAAAATACCACACAAATCTCTGCTCTAGAGTTGGGATTTCTCTCAGAAGTCTGAGTTGGAATACAGTTTTGTTTTCCCCACAGCTAAGGTGGAGACTGACAGAAAAGCTTGATGACATTGTAGTACTAAACCAGCTACTTCACAACGCACAGCTGAAAAATTTATCTCATTTGTTTAGTTACACACAGAAGTTCACCTGATTCACTTCCTTTTGGGTATGTGCTGGCCACAGACAAAAGCCACATCAATTTCACTGGAATTATGCAAGCCAAACCTTTTAAAATTAAAATTAGTATTACAGTGGTACCTTAGAACAGCATTTAATGGGTCTTTACTGTAATATGGTGACTACCTTCAACTAACTCAGAGCCCAGTTCTGTGAACAGGCACGTAAATGCTGGAAGTTAGTCCAGAAAAAAGAACAAAGAGTTTCCCATGAGTAATGTGATTCATTCACCCAGTTATATGATAAGCTCTGGGTCAGAGGGTGCTGCAGTGTTTCAGGAGCAGGCTTCCCAGATATCCTATCAACTAGTGCTAATCTAAATGAAAGCTGAAGATCTTTGTCATATCTCTTTGTCTTCTCATGTGAGAATAGAGTGGTGTAAAGATACAGACTTACAATGAAAATACAATTGTTTTGGTCTAGTCTTGGGGTGCCCTTGGGTGAATTTGGAGCAATAATTGTACATTGACTCATGAAAAAGAAACAAAACAGGAACAGAGGGAACTGAACATATTGTAGGAAATAGAGTAGATTCAGTCATCATACTACTGCATTTACCTACCTGCTGTCATTACGAATACTTCTAATGGATTCGTGCATTTTTAACACATCTGCTTCAAAAGAGGCTATTGCCTGTAAAGAAAAGTATCTGTTCATAACTTTATCAGCAATAACATTTCATTTTCTATGCAGATTTTGATACAAGAGGGCATGGCAAATTTGGAATTTGGTGTGTCTGGCAGATTTATTAGCTAATTTTTATTTAACTGATTGCAGTCATCTGATGCACTAAAGAATTTCTAATGGCTATTAGAACTGATTGCAATATTTACTCTATAAAGCAAATTTATTGCCCTGTGATGAATTCTAAGTGTATGAGAACTTGCTTTGTTTTATGTTAAAACAAAACCCTCATTCCGTGGAATTTCCGCTAAATGGAATATTCTGATTTGAGCAGTGAGACACTTGAACCGGCTGGACACAGTAGTTTTGGCTGCCCCATCCCTGGCAGTGTCCATGGCCAGGTTGGATGGTACTTTGAGCAACCTGGTGTAGTGGGAAGTGTCCCTGCCCATGTCAGGAATGAGATGATCTTTAAGGTTCCTTCCAACCCAACCCATTCTGTGATTCTGTGATTCTATGATTCTGTGAAGTCCCACAACTGCTCTGGGACAAGGAGATGGAGGGAGAGACTGGATGTAGAAGAGAGAAGCTCCTCATCTTTGAATGAAAGTAGCAGTCTCTGGACCATGCAGGAGACAGTAGCCCAGAAGTCAGGGAGACAAACACTGCATTAGAGGTAAGCTGCTTTAGAGACATGGTATAAACTGGGCTGGAATCAAGGCTGCTAGGAAATTTTAAGACTAAGAACTGGGGCCCCAGCACCTCCAGGCTTTTGGATTCTATTAAAAACTATAATTTGACTTATGGTCTGCATCTTTTTAAGCAACACTGAAATAATCTGCACTACAAGATGTTGGAAATCAGTATATAACTGCTCCAAAAGAATTCTCAGCCCTGAGAGAAAATGAGCAAGAGAACAACACGTGACAGAATCCCAATGCAGGGATGCAAGTCCCATCTTAATGTCTTCTAAACCAACAAATGCCAGTCATCAAAATTATATGCTTAAGTAATGTCTGCCTACTGCTGCTCCTGCAGATACGTGCTGGCTGCCACTATAGCTCAAGCTGGGCAGCAGAGTCCTAAAAGAGAGGTCTTCCAAAATTCATGTCGGGAATGGTAGCCTAAATGACCCGACATGCACATGCTAGTTATCAGCTACTGCACCCCTGGCTTCTGGGAAGAACAAGACGAGTGGATAACACAAAATGGTTTGAACACAACCCAGTGTTCCCTATGTTCTGAGTACGTGCAGAGCTACTAACCTTTCATATAAATATAGAAACAAAACACTGCTTTGCACTTATTTTTACCTACACTGTCCTACTCTCTCTTCTAGCATTCTTTCTATGCAGGGAACCTGGAAATGGATTAATGGAGAGCTTTTATGCATGAGTTATTTTAGTTGGAGTGAACATTACTCTGGGTTTATCTTGAAGAAGGGTCCATTCTGTCCTCTAGCTATTGCCATGGTGACAAAAATGGCCTGAGTCTAATAAGAATTAAGATGTCCTTCCTTGACTTTTGCCTGCAGTTTGAAGACAGGATGGCATTTTTTTCTTGTCAGAACAGAGAGAGGCCTTGGTCTTAGCTTGTCTTTAATGTTGGCTTTAACTAAGACCACTTGGGAAAAAATAAAAACTAACAGAGCAAATATTCTTAAAAATACTTCTCAAGGTCACTGAGCTCAAACAGTCACTAATCTGTGGAAGGTATCAAATTGAAGCTTCACTAAGTTTTCAGACAACATTTTTTCCATAAATGAAAAACTAACAGAAAGTTGAAGCTGCCCATTATGTTTCTTTTTCACTGGTAATTAGAAGGCAAATAAATAGTTTCCTTGGTAGGTCTTCTTCACAGCTTTAGCACTATTTCAGGTTCATGTTTCATTCACCTGAGTTTCTGTCTTGCCTCGCTCTGGTGTCTTGATGTTATTCTCACTCTTCTGCACTACAGTTCTGTTTTCAGATATGAACTTGGGTGACTCAAGGACAGGTCTGTCCACTAGGAAAGACAGGTTTTCAGGGCCAGGTAGTGGTGAAGCATCGAGTTCTTCAAGGGGACTGTATACCAACAAAGAAATAAAGAGTAGAGAAAGGGTCAAGCATTATATGGGTTTGGTACCTAGAAAGATCAAAATAAAACTAATGCACTGTAAATAGACAGCTGTGCCAGTGAATAAGCACAAAGTACAGTTTAGCTGTCTGATGGCATATTTTAGCTGAAAGAATTAAAAAAAAAATTCCACTCTTTCAACAGAATCTCAGCAACAGGTTCTTCTTTCCACCCAGTTAATATCGGTGCAATAGCTGCTTGTCTTTTTTGCTTCCTTTAGCAGAGATCTAAATATGTTCAAAAATTCAACTACAAAAAGATAGCAAAGGACCAGATACCATGCTGTTCAGAGTTGTGCTAGGGAAAGTCCAGATACCTATCAGCCCCACTAACACCTGTAACAGCAACCCCAAACAAATTATTCTTTCTCTTATTGCTACCAAAGCATTAGGCAAGCAACACCCTGCAGAATTACAGAGAAATCTTGATTGTTCCCAGAAGGATTAAATGACTTTCAAAATGAAGAAAATATTTTTCATCACTAGTTGGGAAATGCTAGCAGTGAAAAATGTTTTGCATTTTACCACAGTCTAAAAAAACAAACACTGAAATAATTTTCTCCATAAGCATCACTGTAACTATCATCCATTGGTCTCTACTGTATGTAAAAAATAGGTGTCTAATAGCAACGCACTTACCTAGCAGTGTAGTATAATCACGTTTTATAAACAGATTTTTCTCCTCCTTCACACAAGAATTAAATTAATTACTTTAGAGAGGAGGGATCATTTTTTCCCTATTTCAGTCTCAGCGAAGCCTGATTTGGAGAACACATACTAGATGCAAGAGAGTTGCTGGGTCTTTACACAACTGCGACGGAATCTCATCCTTTGTATGTTCATAGTGCTTACCCCATATAATCGCTCCCTTCAGTTTCTACAGCTAAATATCAACAAAAATCTCAGAGCAACAAAGGAAAAACTGCAGGGGAAAGTCACAACATGTCCTCCGATGCTCACTATTAACTACTGTGACCAATGAAAATACAGTAATTCATTTAAATGTTGACTAAAAGCAGATAGAACTGATCTGAAAGAATTGGAATGGTGATATCAGCTGCTCACTATTTTGAGCAATCTCAAATATTTTTTTTGTGGGATTTGCAGCTCAGTGGGACTTGCGTAGAATGACTGTCAGTGAACTCACTGTGGGTCTCATGTGCAAAGCATTCACAATTAATTTCCAAGGAGTTTGTCACAGAGGAGCTGCTTAAAACCATTACTAAATATTTGCAATGGTTGACACTAGACTGAGCATAAAAAATGGCATGGAGAGAGAGAGGACATAAGGAATGAGGGAAGTAAGACACAAGCATGTTATATTTTATAAGGCAACTGGTCATTACGTTGTCAACATGGTAATCATGGTTAAGCTAGAGAACAATGTGCAGCAGCTTCCCATTTATGCTCTCCCTTTTTAATGGAAAAATCATGACATGGTGTCTGCATAACAAAATCACTTATTCAAAGGACATCATCAAGCCATGTCCACAGCCTGGCATACTATTCAGAGATCATAAACTCATTGGAAACAGACACTCACGAAGTCTTTTCGTGGGTATGGAAGTACATCTCCTCCACTGCATCCAGAGCCCTCCTTCTCTGAGACTTCTTTCTTCTGCAGTGCTCTTGAAACAGGTTATTTCTGATGGTGCGGAGAAAGTGCTTTGCATTCGCCTTTGCTGACATCTATTGGAATGAGGGATAATAAAGAAGCAAGTGAATTTTCAAACAGGCACTGCCCAGAAGTAGACACAGTCCAAGGCAAAGACAAGACATAAGAAAGCAAAGGTTCACCTCTTCAACAATTGAAGAGGCTCATGGCTACTGCCTGAGCCCTGGAAGGGGAGCTGAGGTGGATGATAATGCAGGACCACAGGCAAAAATGCCTCCAGTTCTGTTAAATAAGCAAAACACTCCGCCTGGGCCAAAATGAGGCAGCCTGGAAATGCCTAATCCAGTATTCTGGTAGCTGCAGTGATCAAGCTCATAGTTACAACAATAAGTCTGCCTGACTAGTATCAAAGTTCCCTCTTGATCAATGGGCAGAAGTACTTTTATACTTGTATGAAGTGTTAATAGGTACAGCCTTCTGTGCCTCACGTCCTGCCCTCATACAGTATAGTAAAACCCACACTTCCATGTCACAGCAGTGTCAGGCTCAGGTACAACAACTAAGCTCAGTAGCTGTATTACAGGAGGACACAAACCAATTCTGCTCCAGGAAGTAACAGCTGCAGAACATGGGGTGAGCTCTGACAGACTGAACAGGGAAACACAAAGAGAGCAAACAGCACGTCTCCCAGAAATTCTCAACATGGTAATAACATTACCACAAGGTGTCAGCATGGAAAGGAAAAATGATGCTGATACTTCAAATCCCCACTCAGTAGCCCACTTCCTGGTAAAGACAATGTGAAAACTTACACAGCCAAGGACAGCATCAGCTAAGAGTGGAAGGTTTGGGAAAAGTGCTTTACCACTGATGATGTCTCACACAAAAAAGATAAAAAAGTGAGTGAGTAGCTTATCTTTCTAATTTTGGTGTAGATTTTTGAAAAAAAAAAAAAAGAAAAAGAAAAAGAAATACGTGGTTAATATTAGAGTAAGGTTTCATAATGGAAATCTAAGTTCAGTGATCCGGTTGCAATATTTCAGCAATAATATGGGAAAGGTCAATATCAGACAGTGTAGGAGACGGAAGGGATTTTATTTTGAAACAAAACTCATCTTCCAAACACAAATTCACACTGTTGAGCTTTGCCACCAGTGTGGCGACAGTACAAGTTGCCCCTGTAACAGAGCCCAAATATGTGACGTGAACTTAGCTGGGCCCATGCTGCCTCTTTGTGCTGCATCCCTGACAGAGACAAATGAGTCCAAATAGCTTGCAATAAAGTGAAAAGGCTCTGAAATAAGGGACATTTCATGAGGGATTTTGTACAACTTTAAGATTAATCAATTCCTGAATGAGGCCACATTGGGATTGAGAAGAATAATCACTGAGGCCCACTGAGTGCCCTTTCCTCGGGTTTAAGGATAATCTGCGAATAGCAAACTTGCCATAAAACTCCTTAGGAAGAGGACTTGCACTATGGCATTTCATGGCTCTATTCAGAACTAAACACTCCGTCTAAAGTTAGAAGCTCCCTTTTTTCCTTTTCCTGACTCACTAATATATCATGCCCATTATGGGTAATACACACAGAATTTCATAATCAACGTACTTCAAGAGTCTACTGCCTACTTGCCTACATGAAAAACCTGAATAGGGAAATGAATCAGTACAATGGGACTCCACCTGCACACAGTGTTCCATAACAGGATGCGAATTCTTATGTGGTTTGCTGAGACGGCCAGTGAAAAAGCAGACTTGGCAAAGGTCAAAATTGAGGCACTTCAGACAGCGATACCTGTAAGGAAAAGCAGAAGGATTAAGTTACTTCCCCACAAGTAAGAATTTGGTGTAAGTGAGCTTGATTACTGGAAATGCAGATCCCTCGGTTAAGAAATGCAGAGAAACACCTTTGTTAGAACAACAACTTTCTTTGGCATTCTCTGAATTCAAGAGTTATTTTGCTCTGTTCTTCTCCAGAACCCACTAATGATATTGGTATTATTTATTTCTGCACCAAAATTCAGTTCAAGGAAGAAACAGTTTTTCTAGCACAGTTCCTGAGAATGCAGTTGTATCTTCGTATGTTTCTGAGGCCCCAACTTACCTCTATTTGCTGCTCTCATGGAACTGTAATATCATTACATTATTGACATAGGATTTGCAACTTTGAAAAAAAACCCCAAATTGCAAAAAACCTAAACCTGCAGGCTTGCTATTAGTGAGAGGAACAGTAAAATGATTTTCTGAACATTCTGGTCAGTATGTAATGGATAGTGTTCTTTTTATACCATTAGTCCATTTTGTACCATTACTTATATCGGTAAGATGCTAAGATGGATAACTTAACTAGCCAGTTGATATGCCTGATTATGGGATAAAGAACTAAGAAATGAGATACACAGGTTTAATTTGCTTTACCACTGAACTACCAGTTTACTTTCAGTAAATCTCCAGAATCATGTCTGATGCTGAGCTAAAGGGAAGCAGGATGCAGGCTTGAGCACTAGGCTGTGATGGTTCTTTCTTTTCTTAACTTACTCGTTAAATTAGATTATGTCCAAAGATTTTTGCTTAATACAGCAGTTAGAGCCTGTAAGGTATGAAAACGGTGGTAAGAACTATTTATGTGGATGCTATAGATTGCAGTAATTACTCACACACCTGAGGCCTATAATGGGGAAAATTTTGCAGACTTTACATCTGGCTTGGTGCGAAACCATTGTTGTGGCTGATAATCTGTAACATGTAGGGAGCCACAGGAGAACAGCAGGCTCTGATCTTAGCCAAGACAAGAATTTTTCTTCAACAATTGCTGAAGTCAGAACCTGGAAAAAATACATGTCTCAAGGTTAGCCGTTTACATCAAAAGAACTTATTTCTCGTCTATAATGCTTAATAAAAGCTGATATTGGACTCTGCTAGCATAGATTTTCATGTAAAATGTTACTGGGTTCCAAAAGGCTTGCAATAAATGCAGGTCTTCAGTAGTATTACTGAGGACCTTTTCTATAGCTATAAATCCTCCTATACTGTGAGACTGACAATCAGTCCTGCCCCTTAGAAGTAGATACTGGTGTATGTTATATGGTGATATGCTTGCAATTTTAATCAACCAGCAACATTGACAATCATTCCACAGGACATCGTAATTTCACTCACCCCATGGAAACAGCTGCGCGTTGCAATTTCCACACAAGACAGAGTGCAGCCTTCTCCCACAATGGCTGGTATCTGCATCAAGAAGAAAGGCTCAAAAACACCTCAATAAAAAGCAGATGTTCCCATCATGCTCTGCTGAGATGGTGACAGCACACAGATGGTGAAGTATCTATAGAAATGCCATTTTACACACTGTTCTGAAAAAATCCTGTTCATATTCATACCATCAGCATGCAATTTCATAGTTAAGTATGTGTCAGAATGATTTGCTTCCAGCTCACTTACTGAAATGGATCAACATGCTATGTTGCTATACTAGAATACTGAAGGACACTGGGTTTTAACCACAGGAGTCATTTTCAGATCCCATTTTCAGCACCATTTCAGCTGGAAATACATGTATGCTAAGGCATTTTTCTGCAACTGCAAGCTATTCTAGTGAGTTCAAATATCCAAAGTTTGGAGTCACTTTAGGAACAGCTGTATGCAGCTGTTCCCAGGACATGTAAGCTCCAGAAAAAATGAATGCACAGAGGCACTGATGCAAGTGGTGACACTCGCTGAGAAAAGCTGTAGAATTTGCTTCTTTTATCTACTTCTCATGGTAGCTCCCTATATCTGCAGAGCGCCCCACTGACTTTAATCCAATAATGTAACTGGATATAAAACCATGTATTTTTTCTCCTAGATTAGGATACTCCTTCAAGATCTGTTGTGTAACAGCACTGCCATAGCATTACCTGATTTAAGTCTGTTAGTAGGCTTCTCAGGGCACTACGGGTGATCAAGGCCATCTTCCCATCAGGGACAGCATAAAACTGGAAGAAAGCTGAAAACAACCAGAGGAAAGAAACTGGAATCCTGGCAGAGCCTGAAGTGTCTTCTAGCTACTCATTCTTAAACTATCTACATGATGACTGCAGTCTACCAAATAAACTCCTCAAGAAAGTTCCCCTTAATGTCACTAACAGGCGTTCAGTGACAATAATTTCTTCCTACAGGCAGGGAAAAGAGAAAGAAAGCAAGGATATTATGATAATTCCTTGTTCCTGGCAGTTAAGACAGGTAAGGATGAAGGAAAAATTTTCATGGCTGTAACAAAAATATTTAAATTTGTTTAAACAAGATAGGTCCTATTTAAATCGTGAATTGTTAATTCCAATTGTTATTTGGAAGGAGCTACACAATATGCAGTGAGGGAGTATGAGGCCAATATGCCACTTGTGGTCCATCTGCTCTCCATTTTGGGCATTTAATCCAAGCAGAAATCTTTGTGCTGCACATTACATCGAGCTACCTTTATCTGTTTTACCCAGTCTTTTTAAGCATTTTTGTCTAATGTTAAAAAGCTTCCCGGATCAAATATATAAAACTGTTTTCTAATTCAATGACATTTGAAATTAGGGACTTTCTGGGTTTTTTCTGCTAGGCAAAAAGAACTTGCCCTTCATTTTTAAGCTCTACCTATCTTAAACTTTACTATGACTTGTTCTGATCTTTATTCAAAGATGACTAAGGATATTGGTGAAAAAGTATTCTCCTGCATCAGCCTTTCTCTAAGCAGTCAACATAGTTTACTCTTTGTATGGCAGAGCTGTATTCTCTTTTAAAATGTTCAGTATTTCAGGCAGTGTATAAAATCATACATTTCCCACCTCTGTATTTAGCCAGTAGAGTGTCTCCTGAAAGAGCAATTAGGGCAGCTGCAGCAGATCTAGCTTTGATATAACCTGTTCCAGACCTAGGAAAATAAGATAAGATACACTACAATCACTGAGAATGTAAAAACTGAAACCTCTGAAGAAAAAATATTGCTATGTTGAAGAAAACTTTAAGACTCCCCTCCTTTTATATGTACACAACTGATGTCCATTTTAGTGATATTTTATGTCTAGGACCCTTTGTCACTGAATGTAGCTAGAGTTAACTGTTCAAGATGCCAAGCAACCATAAAACAAAAAGAAAGCATCTCCTTCACAGACCTCACATTTCAGGTAAAATTTCATTTTCATTTCATTTACAGACGTGTCCTAAAAAAAAATATCTGCTCTTCATTTGTGGAAAGCCTTCTGAAATACGAAAGAGAAAGCAGGATTATAATCCTGGTTTTGTATCATAACATCAGGCAGCCCCAGATCTTCACTGAGCCACTCTTGGGCTGATTCCCTTTAATTTAACTGCAACTCAATTTTATCAAAAGGATATATGCAGGAGCAAGACTTCAGTTTTGAGTGTCTGACCACAAAGAATGTAGCTTAATTTAGAACCCAATTTTGCAACATAGGCACCTAATGGAAAGATGTTTTTTTTATGTGAAAACAAAGCAGACATGAATTGAAATCCTGGAATTCTGTATTTAAGATATTACTTTTGCAAAGCAGTATTGCACGTCAAAATACCATTACAGAAAATTGTCTTCAAAGTGTCTTTAGCTAAATTGTGTTTTTCCAAAGCATACTGCATAGAACTACGATACACTTCCATGGGAAATTGTTGGTCAAAATCTTACAGATTTTGAATTTATATGTTGAGTTTTTCCATAATTTTCATAGAAAAAAATGCCCAAGATTAAAACTAAAGTACACAAACCAACTCCTCATGATGGTTTATGGGATTTTACTAAGTAAGAACCACACAAATGGGGAAAAGTCCTTATGTGCTTTTGCCACTAAATACTTTCCAGTGTTTACAGCAGACAACAGCACTCTACAGAGGTGCCTTGATTTGAAGAAAATTACAATAAGCTTTTTCTAGCCCACATACATGTCAAGAAACTTGTAATTTATTTTAAAGTAATTACAGCAATAGTAAAATTGTACACTATCCTAAGAAACCAGAAAAAAAGACCAAGATAGTCCTGTTAAGAAGATTCTTTTAATCATTTCCATAGAGTGTACACAAATTACAACATACCCTTGATGTCTCTAGCTTTGTTTCATAATACACCAGTTTATTCTTAATCTTAATTGATTTTTTAAGTACAAAAACCCCCCATAACATAGGACCATAAGCAGTAGTGATCATATTAATGACCAGTGATTGAAGGAGAAGTCCTGCAGACCTCCTACATCTCACTTTCTGTAAGAAACTTTGCTCTGATGTAGAATGGAATACATTTCACCTGTGGTGAATAAATTACAAAATGAACTTAGCCTTTATGTTTTAAATGGGTCACAACCCAACCCACGTTTGGTCAATTAATTCATTAATCACAAACAATACATGAGGTAAGTACACTCTGTGAGCTGTTTTCTTAATATTCACAGAAACTATTTGCTGTTCACAGGGTTTAGCTGATCACCTTAGTTATGAGATTGTACTTTTGTTTCATAATTAGCTGATGAACTTTTTAAGCTGGAGAAAAATGAATAATGAAAAGTGACTAGCAAATTCTTGACCTTTCTATGGGCATTGTAATTGAAAGGCAAATATGCATTCTTTTTCAGAACTATATAAAAAAATCTTGGCAGCCAAAAGAAGAGCTACTCCCTGTAAAACTGTTTACAGAAAAAGTTAGCATGGACTGGCATAGATCTGGGCTTCCAGATAATTTTGGAAACATTTGACCACTTTCTCTGATAAAGCTTTGTGCCTCATATTGCTATAGCTGAACTACTCCTGTTGTGTATATAAGAAAAACATCAATAAAATGTAAAATTTTGATACCAAAATGGTGTGAGAGTGATAGAAACAAACTTAGCCTAGCAGTACTTTGTGATGGATTTACATCTGTGCTTCCTCTCACCTGTCATACATGGCAGCTAGCAGGCTCAATGTGAAATCAGCGGCTCTTGGATGTACCTGGCCCGGTTTTTCTAACCTCGCCCTTTGGAACATTTCTGTCAGCATTCCAGAGATCTGCTGCACTTTCAGAGAAACCTGCTTTTCCCTCTGGCTCTGTTCACTTGACAGGGTGTGCTGAATCAGAGAAACATCAATCAAATCCACTGTGGAAAAATTAAGGGAGAAATGAATGAGAATCCCTGCCTTTTATGAATGGAAGCTCAACTATTTTTTTATTAGAAGTGTCTAGCTAAGACATGTCTGTTACATAAAGTCTAAAACAGCATGCAGGATTTAAAAATAAATAATCTGGGAAAGGTATTCCTGTCTATAGATGTAGCAAAAGTTGTGAGGCTACAAAGAACAGCTGAAATAAAATTCCCTGGATCTGATTTTGGGATAAATAAAAAGGGAATAAAATAGCATAATTAACTGCAACCAAATTGTAGAGGGTAATAGCATGATTAACTGCATCCAAATTACAGTCCTAACTTTAATTCTATGTATAGATAGATATTTTGTAGACTCCAGAAGAAGCAGAGAACCTAGAATATGTCCTATGATCTTTCCAACGCAGATGGGAAAATATCAGTGTGAAACACTGGTGAATCTCAATCTGGAAAACCGTGTGCAGTTCTGGTCACCAGTGTTCAAGGAGGAGGAGAGTAAATGGGACAGATGCTATGCGTGCTTACAGAAGACATGGAGGAGTAGGAAACAGAGCTAATATAAAGCTGTGTGAATTGGCACCAGGCAGATTTACTACATCAGGCTGCGATCAGACTAAATACATTTATAGGAGGGCATGCCCAAATGCAAAAATACGGCCAAGACCAACAGACTAGTCATCTTTCTGGGCAACCCTGGTCTCGTGAGACCTCACTTGAAGTACCATGTACAGTTGTGGTGTCCTCAACATAAAAAGGACATGGAGCTGTTGGGACAAGTCCAGAGGAAGCCACGAGGATAATAAAGGGGCTAGAACACTTCTCATATGAAGACAGACTAAGAAAGTTGGGGCTGTTCAGCCTGGAGAAGGCTGCGTGGAGACCTCATAGCAGTCTTCCACTGTCTGAAGGGGGCCTACAAGGATATAGGAGAGGGACTCTTCACTAGGGACTGTAGTGATAGGACAAGGGGTAATGGGTTAAAACTTAAACAGGGGAAATTTAGATTGGATATAAGGAAGAAATTCTTTACTGTGACAGTGGTGAGGCAATGGAAGGGGTTGTCCAAGGTAGCTGTGAATGCTCCATCCCTGGTGGTGTTCAAGGCCAGGTTGGACGGAGTTTTAGGTGACACAGTTTAGTGTGAGGTGTCCCTCCTCGTGGCAGGGGGTGCTGAAACTAGATGATCTTACACTCCTTTGGAACCCAAACTATTCTGATTCTATGAAGACATCACTTACAGTGTTGTGCATTTTCAGCAAAAGACTGTTTCAGGTGGAAAATTCAAGAATTCCATGCATTTTAGCTCAATCTGGAATTTACATCCAGTAGCTAGGTGACAGGGAAAATGAGTGTGGGGTTTGTGTTCTATCACATTTAATTTTTTCTCATTAATACTTATAGTATTAATAATTATTTATGTCAATGCATTTTTGATGATCTGCAATCATTTCCAGTAAATCGACTCATAAGAAACACGAGAATTTGACATTTAACAAGAAAAAGAATATACAGATAATGATTCATAATTGACAGTGATGTCTACATAGCACTGTTGCAGATTGTAATACAAATTTGATTCTCTCATTCCTTTAGAATTTTACTAATGTATTTCCACTGACATTCAAAAGGGGAAAAAAAATCAATTTGAAGTACTATCTAGCTCTTAAGTGCTTGTAATACATTCTGAGAATCTCAGGTGGAAAATGAAAGAGAAAAGTAGCATAATAACTTAGGGTGACAGCAGTACAAGTTTTGTTACAGATTCTTCTCATTGTCAAAGCACAGGATTCTCTTCAGCTACTAACACTGGCATAGACTTTGTACTGAGCGTAGTTTTAGGGCTGTTCTGTAGATGGAGCTCTGAACATCATTGAAAGCCTCTGTGAAAGAAAATAAACACGTTACAATGGTGGTTTGTCAAAAAACAAACCAAAACAACACAACAAATTATTTAACTAAAAATCAAAAGAACCAAATATGCACTTGATGAGATAGCTTGGTGGGGAAAGTGGTCTTATGACCAGTGACATGATGGGTTGTAAAAATAGTATTTAACATATCACAGAATCATTGAATAGTTAGGGTTGGAAAGGACCTTAAGACCATCTAGTTCCAACCCCTCTGCCATGGGCAGGAGCACCTTACCATGCCACCCAAAGCTCTGTCCAACCTGGCCTTGAACACCGCCAGGGATGGAGCATTCACAACTTCCTTGGGCAACCCCTTCCAGTGCCTCACCACCCTTACAGTAAAGAATTTCCTCCTTATATCCAATCTAAACTTCCCCTGTTTAAGTTTTAACCTGTTACCCCTGTTCTATCACTACAGTCCTTAATGAAGTGTCCCTCTCCTGCATCCTTGTAGGCCCTCTTCAGGCAGTGGAAGACTGCTATGAGGTCTCCACGCAGCCTTCTCTTCTCCAGGCTGAACAGCCCCAACTTTCTCAGCTTGTCTTCATACAGGAGGTGCTCCAGTCCCCTGTCATCCTCATGGCCCTCCTCTGGACTTGTCCCAACAGCTCCTTGTCCTTTTTATGTAGAGTCCTGCATCTGGGCAGGAACAACCCCAGGTTCCAGTATAGACTGGGGAACGACCTGTTATAGAGCAGTGTAGGGGAGAGGGACCTGGGGGTCCAGCCGACACTGTGCCCTTGTGGCCAAGAAGGCCAATGGCATCCTGGGGTGTATTAGAAGGGGGGTGGTTAGTAGGTCGAGAGAGGTTCTCCTTCCCCTCTACTCAGCCCTGGTGAGACCTCATCTGGAATATTGTGTCCAGTTCTGGGCCCCTCAGTTTAAGAAGGACAGGGAACTGCTGGAGAGAGTCCAGCGCAGGGCAACTAAGATGATTAAGGGAGTGGAGCATCTCCCTTATGAGGAAAGACTGAGGGAGCTGGGTCTCTATAGTTTGGAGAAGAGGAGATTGAGGGGTGACCTTATTAGTGTATATAAATATATAAAGGGGGAGTGTCACGAGGATGGAGCCAGGCTCTTCTCAGTGGCAAACAATGAAAGGACAAGGGGTAATGGATACAAATTGGAGCACAAGAGGTTCCACTTAAACCTGAGAAGAAACTTCTTCTCAGTGAGGGTGACAGAACACTGGAACAGGCTGCCCAGGGAGGTTGTGGAGTCTCCTTCTTTGGAGACATTCAAAACCCGCCTGGACACGTTCCTGTGTAACCTTATCTAGGTGTTCCTGCTCTGGCAGGGGGATTGGACTAGATGATCTTTTGAGGTCCCTTCCAATCTCTAACATACTGTGATACTGTGACACCAGAACTGCACACCCAAGTGAGGTCTCATGAGAGCAGAGGGGCAGGATCACCTCCTTCACCCTGCTGGTCACGCCCCTTTTGATGCAGCCCAGGATACGGTTGGCTTTCTGGGCTGCAAGCTCACACTGAAGCCCACTCACATTGAGTTTCTCATCGACCAACACCCCCAAGTCCTTCTCTGCAGGGCTGCTCTGAATCTCTTCTCTGCCCAACCCGTAGCCGTGCCTGGGCACACCTATAGAGCACACCTGCTTCTTTGTGAATCAAGTCTGTCCATGGACCAGAAAAAAGGATATGCACTGTGCATACTTTAAGCCAAAATCAAAACGAAATTATATTTCTTCAGCCAACACTGTTTCTTGATCACAGATGCTCTTCTACAAGGAACGGTTTGTCAGTCTGCACAGCAGGGTTATTGTTTTGAAAGGCTATGTTTGCAGCATTAAACAAATTTTCTGTCAAAATTAACATCTGGGGCTCTCACAGAAGAAAAACAATTTACCAGAGCAACTGGCTTTTGACATCTCTGCTTAGTAATCTCACCCAAAATGCTTGACTAAGTCTCATACCTTTCCATGATTTCAGCTCATTTCTGTCACATCACTGAAGTATGTTTTTCAGAGTGGGAAGTAAGGGCTTCTAAAAATGGCTTATACCTGATACTTCACACACATTCCTAGAACTTCAAGACACACACAAAAATGGGGGAGGGAGGTGAAGGCTTAAAAAGCTTTGTTTACAAAGCTTTAGAAACTAGAAAGGGGTTTATTGGTTATCCTCCTGTCCTAAGAGACTCTTTCTCCCTGTACTTGAGAGAGCAAGAGTTACTCACAGTTGATTAAGGTCAAAGATAAACAACAAATACGCATAACTGAGTAGAAATAACTCAGAAACTCTGGATCTGTTTAGTCTGGAAATAAGCCAATCTGTTTGCCATGGTTTCCTACAAATGTACCAGACTAATGTTAATAGTCAGCAAATTATGGGCTCTCCTGCTTCCCAGCTGCTGCCTAAGATATAGAAATAAGCCAATATCTGCTATACCATCTGTTTAGTCCTCCTCATGTCATACTATGTTTTGTGATATTATTTGGAGATGTAGTATAGCATATCATACAATGTGAAAAATCGGTTCTGACTTCCATGCATCATCAATTCTCTGTCTTCAGTAACCTGATCCAACGCTCTTTTCAAAGTAACAGAAAGACTCCCACAGTTCTCAGTAGGCTATGGATTAAATTCCAAATGATTATTTTCAAATACAAATGCTAGAAACACATGCATGATCCAACTCAAACACCTTCCATGTGCAAGATGACTAAGTGGAGGGAATCTGTTTCAGTAGCCATCTGCTACTCACTTGAAGTCCATCCTTACAGACAAAATGTGGCCTCAGAGTAGGGCATTCTGTGCCTGTCAAGCAGTTCCAGAGCTAACTTGTGAGAACACACAAGTAAAACAGCAGACAAAATAAAAAAAAGACCAAGTAAAATACAAAATATTTTAGGATTAGTTTTTATGAGAGGCTATTTAGGGACAATAAACTTTCATTTCTCATAGCGATGGAGCTTCCCCTTTGGACAGAAAACAAGCATGTAATAATTCTGCAGTGGGACAAATTTCACTTCAAGAGTCATAAATGCCCTTTGTTGAGAAGCTGGCAAAGGAATTCCTACACACGTACAATGCATTGTTTCCCAACATCTCCAGCTAATTACCCGCTAGTTCTGCATTTTGCATTACTTGTTATCTAGCAGTGTCTGCTAAGATTTTGCACTCGGGAAGGGAGTGTATGGCCATCCTTCATGCCTATTCAAGAATATGTGAAACAAACCCTTATGAGACATTTTAAGTCAGAGAACATGGCTCCTGAGTGCCTGACCATTCCATAAGCCCATGCAACAACAGCAAGGAAGGTACCAGGACAGATCCAAAAATAAAGGTGGGACATCACAGCTGCGTAATTTGTCATTTACGTGCTACAACACAGAGATTCTGAAAGTTGCATGATTTCATTACAGTTCAGTAGTTTCTGTTCAAACAGACAGATGTTTCTTGAGAAAAGTTGGGGAAAAATGATTAAAATCCTTACCCTGCAAGTCTGGATCCATTGGAAATGAACAGATGGCATTAGGCATTCTATAATGAAATAAACTAAAGTGAAAACCCACATTTTCTAGGCAAAGACATATCGAACCATTCAAATCAAACCTTTTAATCTGAACAATTACTGGAGGCATTCCAGAAAAGAAACTAAACAGAATTACATAAAACAACATAATCATTTTAGTGCTAAGTGCAGAGAAGATCCAGAAAATTGCATGCTGTCTGCTCAGGATAAAGTAGGAGTAATTCTAGTAACTGCAAAACAGTGTGAGGGCAAAACCAGTCCCCAGAATAGTTTCAAGTACAGGAAATGGGATCTTCCAGTATTGAAGTGTCCACTGTTTACAGATAGAATTACTACACAATCCATAGTATATAAATTCAGGGTCAGAGAGGTCGCCTTTACACCAAACTCTTCCCAAGATTCATTGATTGCAATTAGTCACAAATCTATTTTCTAAAATTTTCAAAAAGAACTGAAGTTTTCAGCTGAGCCAACATTATTTCTTTTGGGGCTGAGAAGGAGAGGAGAAAGGAAGCATACCCATGAATCTACTTCTTCACAGAACCCTGAAAGCAAAAATAATGATGTCCCTAATAATAATAAAAACTGAATATCTCCCATCAGGATTTATTTCATTAGCACCTGAAACTCCAAATATTTTTAAACATTAAAATATAAATATGAATTCAGTTCAGTAACTATCAGTTAATGTTACAGCTGAAAAACATAAGTTACAAAAGGCCACATATATGGCTTGTAGTGGGGGAAAAAAGGCAATTTGCTAGAATAAATAAAAATGCAATAGCTGAAAACTGTCTAAAGCTTTAACAATAAATTTGGTTTGATATTAAAACTGAACTTACTCGAATGTTCACTTTATTACATTCTTCCAGTAAGTCATTGATCATTTGCCATAAACATGACAGAATACCTGCCAATTATGAAGCATAAATATTCAATGATCTGTAATTACTGAGTCTGTCATAAATATGCTTCTCACCATTTTAATTAGCAATAGCTGCAGTTCTGTGTTTCAGTTTCTAAATAACCTATAAATACTTTGAAATGATGGGATACAGATTTGCTTTAATAGCTTCTTCATTAAAGACTACAATTTTTATTAAAGTCCTTTTTTGATAGAATTACCACTATGTTTCTTTTTCACTATTCCTCTGTTTAATTCCTTACTAAGGTTTAGGCTCAACCCTGGATTGTGTAAGACTACAGTTCTGCCCAAAATTTACATACACATGTAACTTTGCTGACACAATTACTCCTAAAATAGGTTCAGTAGTATATGCCTCTGAACAGCTTGACAGAAAAGTCAATATAGGGAAATGAGTGAAATCAGAAGATTCTAAGCAATGAATTAAACATAAGTGTTTAGTGAAAGCTGCATGTAGCAAACTAAAGGATAGACTTACAAACACACAGTTTGTCTCATGTTTTCCTCCTTTTTTTCCCTCCACCAAAGCTACATAAAACAAAGCAAGAGGATAAATGTATAAAATACACAAGTTAAACTCAAATTAGAACTCAATCATTAGAATTTGCTCACTCAAGAACAGATCCACTGACTTGACTACATTATACAGCATGCATAAACTATTTGTATTTGATACTTACATTAAGATGACAATTTCTCTATCCAGTACAGAATAATGCCTAACCTTTAAATTACCCATATAGATAAACATACCATACTTTTGTACTAGGGTATTCATAGTCTCAAAGTTAAGTATGTGTTTATGTGTTTTACGAAACTGGCTATCACTGTGCAACATAACATCATTTCCCATCAACCCTCCCCTCCAGAAAATTATGAAAGGCATTATTAACATAGGCAAAGTCTACATTTTTATATACAAAAGTCTATGGAGAGTCCAGCTCTTGACTGCAGTAGGAGTGCTTGGGTGACATGAACAGTGTCTACTTCAGTGTTAACACATCTACTTTATAATGAACATGAAAGTAGTAGTAGTATCTGCTGCCATTAACTATAATTCTGCTCATTGATAGACTATTTCAGCCAGTGTGATGCTGTATTTCAGTTACATGTGCCCTTTAATAATTAAAACCACTCCACAAAATGAAGCGGACTTTTAAAAGTAACTACCAATGGACAGGAAGTAAATTTTTACAATTAGAAACCCCAATCCCATTAACACAAATACTCTCATGTGCAGAATAAGAGTAGACTTATTTTTTAATCCCATTGGAATGTGCAAGAAAAATAACATCTGATCACTTACATGTATTTAGTTTACCTATATAAGTTCTCAGCATACGTACTTTAGCAAATAAAATTAATTTTTAAGTATGCTACGTAATTAAGTTACAGTACAGAAAAAGCCAAACCAGATAAAGTAAGAAAGAAATCTTCCAATAGATTGACTTGATCACAGAGGCTTTCCTTCTTTTGAAATCAGGCAGCATATGATCAGCGTTTTAAACATACATAAAATAAACTACAATTACTTTTGTTTCCTGTGAAGGGTAAGAACATTCTATGCTTTTCAAAGGCTGAAATTATTGCTTTCTCTTAAATACAGTAACAGTGCTTACCTTTCTCTCAGCTACTTACTAAAGGCCCAGAAGTCAGACAGCACTGCCAGAGAAAGCCTAGTTTTATAGCACTTTAAAGTTGACTTCAAGACACAGTTCTAAAGGTTTTGCTTTTCAATGAATGCTCTTCACAACAAATGCCTGGCAAAGGCCCAGATCAAAGTATCAGGTAATGTCTAAGCAGTCAAAACAGAGAACACTAATTAATTAGTCATAAATACCTTGAATTATTAAAGATAAAACTCCTTTGATCTCTGTTTCAAAGCAATTTTTTCTTATGGGTAGAGTGCAATATTTCTAAATTGAAGGACCTTTACTAAGCATCTCCCAGTTGCTGAGAAACAGTGTTGCTATAGAGACTGAAAAGGAGGCCGAAGCTGGCACAGTAATACAGAAAGCACAATGTGCCATAGCAAACAGTTGGTGCAACTACACAAAGAGGGAAAATAGTAAGTAAGTCCTAGTGGTAATGTCCTAGAGTAAGAATTCTTTAGGCCAAACATAAAGCTTACACACTCATCAGTACATGCAAATGCTAGTGTTTATGCAGCATATATATAACATTTGTGAGACATACACTTCTCTTAAAGCCCCTTTTCATACATTTTTCAACAGTTACTCTAGTACCCAGGTAGTAGGATTCATCAATGCTATGAATATCCTACATACATATCATTACTCAGTAACTTGTGAAAAAATGTGTACCGTTTACTTATTACTTATAGAAATTACTTATTACTTATACAAGCACCAAACTTAGTGATGACCAAGTCAGGCTGTGCTACAACTGTAACCAACTGTGAATATTTTACCTTTCCTATTACTCTTTCTTTTTCTCCTCAACAAAAGATAGGTAAAGAAATTTTTCCATTCTATTATGCTTCCATGGGGAAAGACCTGAATTTCCCTGCAGGCCATGAGGCAAATCTAATTAGAATAATTTAGGATACAAGAGACATCCAAGACATTTGTTTTGCCTTTCTCCTCCCAACCTCTGAGAAAAATATCTTTGCCTGTGGTTTTCAGGTAGTGACCCAGAAGTTTGGTGTGGCTGCTTATATATTGCAGAAACAGTTCATCTGCTTCTCATTAAGAGCTATGCAGTGTTGGTGCTTGAATTGCAGCTTGTTTGAACTACTTCCTCCAAAGAATTCAAAGAGTAAATGACTGCCAAATCATATTCCATATAGAAAAAAAAAAAAAAACAAACAACCACAAATGTAAATATACATTAGAGGAGTTCACTTTTCCTATTCTGTCTTGGGAAGGAGCTACAGAACAAACCAAGTAGTTTGTAAAGACTACTGGTAGCATACTTCCCTGCTATGCTCCCCTAAGACATCTGGCTCCAGATGCTCCTTGGAGACTCAGACAATTCTCTGTGCATACACCACTAGAAACTAATTCTCTGAAGACTGCTTCTTCCTGAAATGAATGAGTCCTAACCACTTTCTTGAAGACTTTTTTACACTTGTCTCTACAACTCCCACATGAACTCTTCCATGAAGATACTTGTAACAATATATCAGATACTGTACATGTTGCTTCTCCCATACACATTTCATATACAGTAAGGAAGTACACTCTTCCAACTTCCTTGTGATACCACAGCTTTCTGATCTCCTCTTCCTAAGAACAGTGAGACGCCCCTTCTAATTCCGTCCACATCAGCTAATAAATAGCAAACAAACTCCTCTTGGTTTCCCCACATAAGAAGATGTCTACCCCTGTTCACAGTGTGAACCTCCTTGAACAAAAATAATTCATTTATTCTAACTATTTATACCTGATTCAAAGAAGATGAAACCTTTTATTTTGCTTTAAACACATCTGATAAAAAATCAACAACTACAATAATATTTCATCTTCATCTCCATCTTTTAGGACACCAAAGACATTCAAGTGCAAGTGGTTTATCAGTAATTCTGTTTGGACAAGGACTTAATTGATTCCATGTTTGACTTAAAACATATGGGTAGTCCCTATGAAAATCATGAAATAAATAAGAAACATGGAGACAAACCCAATCTTGTCACTAAGGAGTTGTATGCACTTAAATTTTTGTGTTAAATATCAATTTTGCCTGAGGATATATATTCTTATACAGTGCTGTATTTCATTACAACTGAGACATGAATCTGGAGTTATAAAACTGCTACTCCTATGTGCTACTCCCAATCTTGCTCTGAATTGTCAAAATATGAACATTTTAGACATTAAACGATGTTTTGAAAATGTTTTACTGGCTGAAGAAGTAGAAATCCTAGACTCATTAAAGGCTCCGTACAAAGAATGTTATATTCACACTGTTTTTGAAAGATTTTTCTTCCTACAGATTTCCGGGTTTTTAACAAGACAGACACTGTAAAAACTGTGACAATATTTAGCCTTTCTTTGAGCAGCAGAAAACATCATTTTGGTATGGTAACTTTCAGCATTTCTCCTCCAGACAGCTCTCATTAAGGTAAGCCAGCAGGCAAGGTTTCCATCTCTGTAAGAAGAGCAAAAACAGTACATATTTTTGCCAACCTCCTAAATACTTACATATGTAAAGTGATATACAGGGCACTTCAGGAAGTGAACTTGGCAGTATCATGTGGCCTATAGCTTTTCCACACGCTTCCAAGTATTAGGAAGGGATATTGGAGTTGTTCTATAGATTTTTAGTTGCAATTTCTCACATCATTGCAATTTCAAAAACTTAAGATAAGCCTGGTGTGTCATTAACAAACAAAGGAAATAGCTTCATAATTTATAATGTAGGGATATTTAAAAGGTTTTTCATCTACTATAACTGGAAGAAGTGGCAGATGTGACTGCCACTTACTAAGATTGCCTTCTCTATAGAAAGTAGGAATATATAACTTTTTAGCCTGTTGTCTTTGGGTGTCTTAACCTTTTCTTCTTCTGATAGGCTTATAGACTAAAGATATTGAATGAACTATTTGGTACTGCAACAAACAGAAAAATAAGAAATTTGAGTTCCACTTTATAAGGTTTTTTTCCTCTGTTAGAAATTTAACTCTTGATTTCTAGAGAATACAGAATAGTAAAATATAGTAAAGAACAGCTTCAAAAACATATAGCAGGACATATAGTGAAAAATGCTTTTCTAATGAGAGTCACTTGGGTTAAAAAGATTTTATATTTACTAATAACCTAAGATAAAATGTGTAATGCTAAACATATTATTTATACTCAGATTTTATATTCATGATCTGTGAATGACACAAAAGAAACTTATCAAAACAAGGTTTCTACCATGCAGGCTTGCCCCTACTATCATCATGTCCCAGGCATAGTCAGGATACATCAGACAAACACATTGTATTATTGTTATTCCTGAACGATTTTATATCCATTTTAAATGAAAGGGACAGAAAATAAGAATACATTACTTAAATTCACACTTAAAATTTGATCTGATCTTTTATGGGGAGAAAAACTCACCCTGATGCAAATATTTTTATCTAATGATTTTATCACCTCCGTATGGTTGCATTTCTTGTATTTCCTTTAGTGCAACGAGCTTTTCCTATTGGAAAAAAATAATGGAATGGAAGGACGGAAAGAATAAACAATAGAGTGGGAAAAAAATAAAAGAAAAACAAACAAAACCCCCAAACAAACAAACCCCAAACCAAACAACACAGCTTTACTATCACTCAGTCTTTTCATCCACTCTAATTTGTAAGACAAACTTAAAGTATGTTACAATCAAATAATCCTTACATGTTACTAGTATGACTGAAGACCCCAAAATCTGACAGAAGCTAGAATGTAGATCTTGGGACCAGTCTTTTTAGTATTTTATATTTAGTCATCTTAAATTATTTTTGTTGCACTAAGTGCCAAGAAGTTCATGATGAAATTATTTCCCACCAATTTTGTATTTTCTGAAAAATCCCTAATTCTGATAAAATCTGTCCTTCATTCATGCAGAGTCACAGCTATAAAGATCCCAAAAGATATGTCTCCTGGCGTATATAAACTACTCTGAATATTACACAAGCAAAATCAACATCAGCAACATGGAATGTAGAAACATTAAATTAAAGCTCATATTTCTGTTTTGCACAAAGCTTGCAGAACTCGGGGTGCAAATTCTACACTCACGTAAGTAAACTTATCATTTCCTTTCTGGGCAACAAAACAGTCGTCTGTTCATTTCAATATATTAATAGTACCTTACACTTACAAATACCTGCATTTATTATACTTAAGTGCATATGTACCGTTTGTCTAACATTTGGTGTCGAGGTTTCAGTATTCAAAGTTATACTGTGATGTACCCATAGGTGGCAGAATGGGCATATTCTTAGACAGAAGAAATCGTCACCTGAATCAGCTCATGGGCTAAGCATCCCAGAACTCCTTGGGTCTTTTCATGGATTTTAAATTCTGTCACGACTTCCCAGTTACCATTCTGGAACCTCACTGGCAT